CTGCTGGTATTCTTTATCACTTTCCCTTTTCCTTCATCCTATGCCTCATTCCACGCCTTCATTTCTGAACGTGACTGCACTCTGTTACTATGTGCTTACAGATGATATTTTCACTTAATCAAGTGACTGGCTCACTACGGACGAAGCAAATTGTTAAAAGATTTATCAAAATGCGTTCGGAAAGGATTTTTTCCAGTCACGAAGGAACAATCAAGCATCCACCCAAACCACCGTTAAAATTTCGCTTTATTATGAATGATACCTTTGTTGTCATAATGAAATTGTAACATACATTTTAATATACGAGTAACATTTGGAAATCTTTTAAATATATCATATTTTTATCACATGTTCCTATGTTGTGCTGTTCTGTACGTTTTTTTTTCTCAATATTTCAGAATTCATACTAAAACAAACGTTAGACCAGAATCAGAAGTACCAAGAATCATTCAAAAGATCTTTGGAAGAACCCGAAAAATTCTGGGCGGAGGTTGGACAATGTGTTACGTGGACAAAGCCATGGGAAAAGGTTTTGGACAACACAAATGAACCATTCACGAAATGGTGAGTATGTGATCATGTTAATAGCTATAAGGCTGACATGTTCAATTTGCTGGCGATAAGTGAAAAGTACACAGAACAAATAAACTTTTAATAAATTAAAATTCGTGCTTGTAACGTCTTGTGGACCTGTAGGTAGGTGGACACTTTTCTCCGAAACGGTGGTACATACTTGTCACAAGCCACAAGACCAACACAGACATTTTCACCGCAGTGAGAAATTCAAATCCATAAAATTATTATTTTATATTAATTGTCCTTTAAATGACCCTCATTTCTGAAGCACTAATTTTCCTGAAGTCAGAAGCTGTACGGTTTCAGAACTGGATAAATTCTGCGGCCCGTTACTCGTGAGACGTGAAAAAACCGTACAGAATAAAAAAGGTGTTTAATTGGTCCCAAAACGCGGCGAGTCACAGTAAATAGATGACATTATGAGGAACAAAATATTCAGGCGCATAAATGTTTATTTACACCAAAACAGAGTCTACAAAAATGACGTCTCTTTCTGGTTTATTTAACAACGCTTTTAATTACTATGATAATATGTCTTTGAATAATAAAATAAATATTGAATAATGAATTTTATTGCTATGATGGAATAAGACTATGTCTCTGTAGAACTGCGACCTTAAAAAGGGTCCATTGTTCATCGCCCAGATGATACATGAGTGAATATTAAGCAACAGTGGAATAATACCGACAGTGGAAAACTTATGGCCTCAGAGAAGGAGTGTCCCAGTGCCATTTTGTCCAACAGAAATCCCACGTAGGCTGATCTTAGAGCGAATCTTGGTCTCCACAATGAGAAGCCAGCGGCTAACCGCCTGTGAAATTGCGAATTGGGTAGGATGTGGAAGGAAGCCGTCGTGGCCAAATTTAAGGTACTGTCCAGGAACTTTCCTGGAGGAGCTGAGGAAATTAAAGAAAAGCCTCAGAATAGCCGATCTGTGAACCGAGATTTGAACTCGTGATTTCCCTTATAGGAAGTGATAACTATTCGACGGTCATAATAAGACTCACAGAATCTTACAGGTTACTTTGCATAAACGAATGTTACGTTTGTTGAACAAGTTTTGAAATATAAGTTGTTTGGTTTCAAAGTTAAAGATTTTTCTGAAAATATTCTTTGCAGTTTCGAAACCCCATTGACTGAGATTTATATGTAGGCGTTCATAACACCCACTCCATCCTCACTGCTGATCCGAGTATCAAAGGCTAATTCTGTAGACTGTGGGCCTACTTTTCTCCATACATGAGCTTTTAACGACACCCACTCAAAGAACTTCTGACACTGTTGTGGCTCAGAATGCAACATGTAAATGAAAGTAAAACTTCAAACCTTTCCATTATTAATCCTGATTAAGTCAGGCATAATAAGAGAACCACCCATAAACTACGTTTATTTAGTGGTTCGTTGATACGCCTATGTATAATAAAATAAGGTTGCAGTTGAATTGTTAGCTCTCCAGCTTCGTATTTTGGGGTCCTTGGTTCGAAATTCGGTTTAGATTTAGACTATGCTGATTAAAATTTTTCGTAGGTTTCCGTAGTCCCTGGATAAAAATTACAGGATGCGATCGTAAAAATAAGCTATGCCCGCTTCCTTACATATCCTTTCCTATTCAGCGTTCACGAATTACCCTGGAATTCGATGCTGAATATTTAGTGTGATCAAAGAATGACTGCTGTACTTTTTGTATATCTGGCACGTTATTAATTAATTTAACCACTTTACCTCGACTGTTAGGGTTCACTGCTGTCTCAAAGATGTTGCTGCGTTAAGTTTTTAAGTCTGTGACCTTGTCCACTGTCTAGGAGTTCAGAAGTGCTCTGAGATTTTGGAGCAGTGGTAAATGTGTACGATCGGGGTACTGGCTGTTCTAGTCAGCGGACAGAAACACTCATCCAGCTGTAGATGTCTGTATCCACGGGGACAGTGCAGATAAATAATTTTACTAGACTCACAACCTTCAATCGATTCTAGATACACGCCTTGTAGACCTGCCTTATGACATCCCCGTAATTTTAACGATCTATTATGAATTCAGGATGGAGCATAGCTGCAAATACTAGTGAATAAGCAGTCGCAGATAACTGATAAGGGGCAGCATTTCATCTTAGAAATTTGACAGGCAGTGAACAACTCCTCAACGTAAAATGAAACTATCATTTTATCAAAAGGTACATGTGGCTTTTGTGGGCAAGTAGCAAGCATCAGATAGATAAAAAATGCATACAGAATTTTGATTAGAAAATCTGAAGGAACCAGATTTGTCTGAAATGGGATATTTCTTTCGTTATTTTTATTCTTTCTTTCTTTCCTTCTTTCCTCTGTTTCTCTGTTTGCACTCAACGCACGCTAACTGTCGTGGAGCCGGGTAGCTCAGTCAGTCCAGTGATTATCCTGCGGTTCAGACGATCTGTGTTCGATTCTCGTCAGGAGCAGACTTTCGCTTCGCTGTGTTACTGATGACTACTAAATTCCCTTAAGCCAGAAGGTTTCATCATGTTCATAAGTCCACCAGTGGTCGATATCCCAAGTTATATTCATTCAGTCAGTTTTTAGATATTTTTATACGTCTCCCCCCCCCCCCCCCCCCACCTGAAAATAATCCTGTACTTGACGACGATCGTCGGTACTTCGAGACATTCAGCTAGTTTGAAAATTAATCCTCCCGTGTCGTTCTATGCTTTCATGTTGTTTTATAACCCCAGAAAATGAGACATTCTGCCGACCAAGTGGGAAATCTAGTTCTGGCAAGTGGAGTCAAATTTTTATCAGACATTGAATACGGACAAGGCGTTTCTTAAAGCAGGCATTAAAATTCATATTATATAAAAGTGTTCTTCTGTTGTACAGTTAAGGGTCGATATACAGAAGTCGGAATGGTAAAAAATTCTGAAAATACTTCTAAAAGTTGGAATGGATAAACGACGTCTGATAAATGACAAGTTTAGAAAACAGAAATGGTGAAGTCAGAGATTTTGAATAATGCTAAAAGAAAGGGTCATAGCAAACCGAAAAGTCTAAAAATAGTAGTCCAAAGTTCTAAATCAAGCAGAAGAATTTCTGAAAAAAATTGTTATAGGAAGTAAAAGACGAACATTTTTAAAGAGGCCAAATATTGTGGCCAAAGTAGAAGGATTTAGATGAAAACAAAAATTAAAACATTGTCCAAAAATGGGGAGTGTGAAATACAGCAATTATCCACATGTAACTCCGTGGAATAGAGTCGTCATTTAGAAGCCGTTAATCGCTCATCTGATCAAAAATTCTCTGTTTTTTATGGAACCCTACTGATCATTTCCATGTTTACAAGAACCCATCACTGGACTCTACTTGAGCTTAGCGTATGCCCTCTGTGTGCCTTGGTTTGAATATGTTGACTAACAAAACAGTTTTCGTAATAGAACCTATGTATATTATACTTGTTGTTCTTATTTGTTATTTGTACTTTGCTATTCTCCTACTAGCTTAATTTTTGTTTTTTTATTAATGTACAAGGATTACATTAGCAATCTTACAAACCAAATTTACAACAGGTATGTTATCAGACTTCCCTACCTTCAATGACCTCGACTGACTCAGGATAACTTCGGAGGACATGGATTCCTATTCGAAAGTTGTTCTCTCTGAGTCCCACTATACGCTCCTTAAGTTTGGCTCTAACCTTTTGAATCACTCTGTATAATTATTTTATTTAGTTGAGATCTTTACGCAGAGGCTGCACCGCGTAACACCAGGACCTTGCTAATTAAAGGATGCGGAGTGAAATTGTAAAAATCTGTCCATACTTATTTTCTGATTTTCCTTACTTTCTTGCCTTCATAGTCGTACGCCTTGCATGTTTTGTTATTTTTTTGTAAATAAAATAAACTTTGGGTCAAGTTCTGGTGACTTTTACAAGCATGAGACGGACTGGCGACCGTATTTATGGTAATAATTAACGTATTTAAGGGATGTAAAGATAAAAGAAGTGGTGTGAAGTGGAAATGAAGTCACAGATCTGAAATATCGAGTTTTTATAAAAGTGGTATTTTGGACTTTGTCCATGGTCTGTATTTAAGTGAAATCACGTTTCTGAAGCTGGGCCTTCTTCCGTCTTCAGGTAAATAAAGAGGAGGACAGAAACCCTTAGTCCTACCCCCGAGACCAGATCTGAGGCTAGCTCACCACCTAGTTCTTCTGTCCGTGTTTTTTTTTCTCTAAAGATGGAAGAAAATCCCGCTTTTGTAACGTGATTTATTTCAAATATAGATCATTGACAAGGTCCAAAATACCACTTTTACAGAATATGACCATCACTGCCAGAAACCTTTAGACTTTGTGGAATTTTTGTTCACAGAAAATTAATTTTTTTAGTTGGAACAATTAAGTAACTTGTGTGTATTCATGATTTGTTTTGGGGGGGGGGGTCACTATATGAGAAGTCAACTACAGAAAAATTAGCAAGAGTTGTTTTAAAATTGTTTGTAGGCCTATTTGTACATTATAAATTACACGAATAAGTGATTATTTCATCATTTCGTTCTCAGGGGCCTTCTCGGTTTATAAGATGATCCCGAACGAACTATGTCTATATTATAATATTCTGTGAATTATTTGTGTGAGAATTTTAACTGGAATGTCATCGCCAGACAGGATTCAACTAAGATACGTCTTACAGGTTTATACTGAGTTGGTTCTGTATTTACAAGCTCGATTTCGTTGTTACATAACACGTACAGAAGCCCCTCCTACTTATAATGGGAAAATAAAAGTACGAGAGGAACTGTCAGTCCAGAGGGGATCAACTGAGGGCTCAATTTGTTTCCTTTCTCAGGTTTGTGGGAGGAGAGCTGAATGCTTGTTATAACGCTGTGGATAGACATGTTCTGGCTGGACATGGTGAAAAGGTGGCCCTCATTCACGACAGCCCCGTTACAAAGAGCGTCAGACACGTCACTTACCTCGAATTACAAGACAAAGTAAGCATTTTCATTCATAATATTGTCTGAAGTATCTTAAGATGAAATAATCCTGTAAGTGTATTCTTATCAATACATATATTTATTTTTCCAGTCTATTCACAAAACTTGTTTTAAAATAATGTTGTTTAAATTTTTTTATAACATTTACAATATAAATTGCATTATGTTATATTTTATGGCGCTTTTCTGTGTCGTATAATATTACAT